TACATGGATCCCGCTCTCTCGATTGTGCTCGTGGTGCTCATTCTGCACTCGGTGTGGCCTTTGTTGCGTGAATCAGCCTTGATTTTGCTGCAGACTGTGCCCACGCACATCCAGGTGGATGCCATACAGAAGCGTCTGCTGGAAAAGGTTGATGGGGTGCTGGCAGTGCACGAGTTTCATGTGTGGCAGCTGGCAGGCGATCGCATCATTGCCTCTGCACATATACGGTAAGTTTCGGCAGGAAATATCATTCATAATCGACTTAATTAATGATTAATCTTCCCCTTTGAAGCTGCCGCAATCTGTCGGAATACATGAAAATTGCCGAAAAGGTCAAGGAGTTCTTCCACAATGAGGGCATACATTCCACTACCATTCAGCCAGAGTTTAGCGAAATCGAGGCCTGCAACATGTCCGACGGTACCTCCAGCATCAACATGAGCGGCTCCGATTGCTGTGCCCTCGACTGTCCCACCACCGATGAGGGCTGTGTCAAGGCCACTTGTTGCCAAAATAACAATAAATTGGTAAGCGAAAGGCAAAGTTCTGTCATGTCTACAGCATACTCAGGTTTGAATTTCCTTTCAGAACCAACTGCCTTCACCCACCAATTCGCCTTATCTGTGTCGTCAGCGGAATGCAGCGCGTCAGGCTGGCGATGTGGAGGCTGGCTCCCTGCTGGATGCGGCAACGTCCAGTGGGAACCAAGGGGCTGCTGTCGGGGAAGTTAGCGACTCCCTTGCCATCACGGCAACATCAACGCCAAAGAGCGAATTAGTCTGACAACATCCAAAGCAAGCGCAACAACAGCAGCAGCAGCCACAGCCACAGCCACAGCAACCGCAACATGTAGTACACTTTGCCACGACCAAGCCAACAGCAACAGCAAAAGCAACAAAATCAGCCACAAAAGCAACAGCAACAGCAGCAGCAGCAACAAAAGCAGAAACATCATCAATACGTGATATAATGTACGAGCCAACAAGCGCCAACAACAAAGTAGAAGTGGCTTCCAGCAGTGGGTGTGGCAGTGTCGATGGGAACAATCTGTCGTCGGTGACCTCACAGCGTCGACGAGAGCTTCAGTTGCGCGCCGAACAGCAGTTTGAGGAGCAGGTGACGGTGACACCTCTGAGAAGCCGCAACGGCGATGAGGTTGCCCTTTAATTTGAAGCCCTAGCTGTTTAGTTAGTTAGTGAGGGGGAGACTGGTGCTGCCATTCGGTGCAGTATTTTAGTGTGTTTCAAGTGTTTTTGTATCCATTGTTTGTTCTTAGTAGAATTTTAGGGATAAATGAACGAGAGAGAGGAGAGAGAGAGTATAGCGTATATTGATAGATGATGGATGGGTGCAATGCAGGCTGATGATTGTTTGCTAGTTTAATTGAAAAATGAAAACACAATTGAATGGGAATGGGGCAGTGAAAGTGTTTGTGGAAGTGCGTGTGTGTGTGATGCTGCTTTTTATGGGGACATGTTTTGTTTCATTCATTTTACAATATAAAGAGCATACAATACTATATAGAATATTTTAATAACTAATCGAGGAGTGTAGTTAATTCACAACAATCTAGTAAGTTTAAGTTTAAACAAGTAAACGTGAGCCCAACCAAACCAGAGAAATACACATATGTACTACAGATACAGTTTTTTACATTTTGAAAAGTTTATACCGTCGCAAAAGAAGTGAATTATTGTATTCAATATAGTTATATATAGAATATAGTATATATATCTATTTATGGCTTAGTGAATGACTAAAAGACAGTTGTACTGTCTGTACGCGCACATCGTATGCACTCCGCATATTGTTAGGGATTCGTTAGTTAGGCTTAGTCTGTGTGTGTCTCTTATTCTTAGTAGTTGTAATGCTAATTGTAAAAAGAGTTTTTACCGCAAACCAAGAGAAACTAGTTTCTATTTAATTTTAATCGTATCGAAACTTTATAATGAATATACATCATGTATTATTTTATGATCTGCATTCACTCGCCACTCGCAAGTGTGTATATGTTTGTAAATAAACGTCAAACATAATCGATCAACTGATCAAATTTGAGTAACTTTTATACAAAGAGGGGACATCCGGAATTGCTCACTAATTGGAGGCATATGAAAATAAATAGTCGAGTCCACTCTGGGATCCCCCCAGCAATAAAGATAAAAACTTTGTTACATTGGGAACAATTGTGGCCACCATGGGGCAAGCACATCAACAAAATTGAAGATATATTTCTTTTAAAATGCATGCAAGTATTTACAAATTAATTTACAACAAAATAACAAGAATGGGATATGATTATGAATACTTTTGAAATGAAAATGCATGCAAGAAGTGTAAGAAAGAAAATATGTACAAATAAATTACAGAATGTCAATGACTAGTGCTCCCCGACATCGCCGCCACCATGATCGGTTGGTTGTAGCTGCTGTGAGAAGCGAAGCTGTCGCTATAAGTTCTCATCGAGATTCTCGTCGGTGTTCTCCTCCACAATGGCCTCGTCCCAGGGTCCGTGGATGTTGAACTTGTGTTTCTGCTGCCTCACGAATATGAATGGACACACAAAGTTAATGAATAGCGTGGTGCACGCGTAGAGACAGAGCACCGGCCGCGATATACAGTAGAGAGCTCCGCAGCAGATCACAAAGATGGGGATCATGAAAAGGGCATTCCAGTTGGCCTCCGTGATGATAGGATACAGGACAAAGAAGATGGCAGCTTCGACGAGCAGCACAAATGCATGGTACGATGTGGAGAGGCGCGAGGCCAGGCAGATGGATCCAAATATGGCCGCATTCAGCGATATGGCTTTGGAGACCACGGCCACGTCCAGGCCATAGTTGGTGAATATCAAGTTGGCCAGCAGGACGAAGAATGTCATGGTATAGATGGTATCCGTGCTGATGGCCTGTGTCAGGGTGTGCAGCATCGGCGAGAACAGGTAACCAAAGAGGACGACCGTCACCAGGGTCTTTGAATCTTCTCCCAGTAGCGGCATGCTTAGACTCCTACCGCGATAGCAAAGATAGCCAAGTCCTGTGATCGCACAGCTTGGCAGGAGTATGGTGGTGGGCGAGACGCTATCACTGAGCATCATCTGGTAGAGTATCAGGAATCCAGCTATGCAGGAGATCTGATTGTTCAGCACCGTAATGCCGGCTATGGCCTCTCTGTAGGTGTAGATTCGCACATGGAGATTGGTGCGCAGATCTTTGAGGAAGCTGGCATCGGTATAGTTGTCTGGGTACTCGCGGTTCGAATAGAGGTTCTTCACCCACGGCTTTCGTTTCTCCTGCGTTTTTTTTGACATTTTTGAACATGGAAATTGTTTACATTTATTCGCATTCCTGTGTGACCATAGTATGGAAAAAACAATAGAAAACATAATACCGAAAATACCGGTTTAATCTTAAAACGTGACTGTCGATTGCTTGGGACCCAGGCCAGGCCCATTTTGCTTATACTTTATTTTATAAACAATCCAACAAAACAGAGTCCTTAAAGTTAGCTAATATTCTAGAAGATTGATTCATTTATCTGACGTAATTATGTTCTAGGTGCTTTGGGTAATTGCTGGCTAGTAATAATAAATAGAATTTCAAATTAATGGAACTGATTTCCGATCAACAAAAAATAACGATAACCCATTGTCGCCCAGTGGATATTTACCACACGAAAATAGTAAAACTTGACCAGTTTTAGTGCAGTTCAAGTGAAAAATATAGTGGAAGTCTCGTTTGTAGGGGAAGTGAAAGCATGAATCTACAATATCTACAGGCTGCATTTAAAAACATTATTATTATACGCGGATCAGATGTTGTTCACCTGAATAAATGGTTGTTTTCGAAAGGTGGGTTAAGTGGGTTAAGCCGAACTTCAAGAATCATACAATTCCGGGACCGTGGGATCGAACCAACCGCGCGAGCAACTAAAGAAATCCGTACAAATTAAATTAAAAGTGGCTAATCGAAAGCTATATTACTACAATCATAAACAATTGCCCGAGCCGCCTGATTTTACGTAAGATATTCCACCAACGTACTGGAGGGTGTGCTCTTGTTGTTTTTGTTTGGACTGCTGCTAGAATTTTGCATCGAAGAAAACACTCGCACACACATACCACCTGTTTGTTTATAACCACCACACAGACAGACGGACAGATAGGACAGAGGAGCGGAGCCCGTGGAGCCACAAATAGTTGGGGAATTGCGAGTGTGCGCCCCCATGAGTAGTAATCGCATCGTAGTTTTCCGCAGTCGCCCCCGACAGTCGTCCAGTCGCGTGTCGCACACATTCGATCATTTATTTATGGCTTCAAATGCGCAGCTCGGAAAAATCATTTTGATAACCGCAATCGCCGTGCTCTTCTACTATTTCTTTTGGGTGGCGGTGCTGCCGTTTATGCTCATCGATGAAGGTGAGTACGAATTGCGAATCGTTCTGTTCCGCTCCGCTCCGAGCGGAAGCAACGACAAACAGCAGCTGCTCCGCTGATTATACACACATTTTTTTTATTAAATAATCCCCGCACGGTTCGCGGGCGGCTTTGTGCAGTAATTAAAGTAACGCTCTTTAAATTGGTCAGTTATTACTACTACTATATGCTATGTACAATGCATTCATATAAGCAGAAGTAAATGGTAGATGCTAATGCGTAAATGATTTAAACTGTTACCTGAAATGTGAATGACGCTGTCTAGGGTTTTAGCCTTTTTCAAGGTCACACCTCTAACACACATTCTCACTCTCTTACTCACTCGCGCTCCTCTCTCTATCTCTCTTTGTCCACAGGCAATCCCATACGGCTGTTCTTTCCGCCTCTAAAGTACGCCTTCATAGTGCCGAGTATATTCGGGGTCATCTTCCTCGGCGGCATTGCCGCGTTCTCCTTCTACCACATTTGGAGCCTAAAGGTGAAGCGTGATTAGAACAGCACCAGCAGCAGCGAGCCGTAAAGGTTATCACTTGGAGCCAGCGGCTACGATTAAGCTGAGAACAGGAAAGGAATCCCAAAGTCAGTCGACAACAAGATGCCACAGTGGCTGGTCATCGGCATTTCGGGTGTCACTTGCGGCGGCAAGACGACACTGGCCCACAGTCTGCACGAATACTTCAAGGGCCTGAGCGGTGCACCGCTGTGGAACTCCCCATACACCATTGGCGATGTGCAGCTAATCTCCCAGGACGACTACTTTCTGCCTGTGGAGGACAGGCGCCACACGCTCAACGAGGCGTTGAAGGTGATCAACTTTGAGCTCCTCACCTCGCTGGACATGAGCAAGATGTTGAATGACATTTCCCAGATCATCAAGGGACGGCATCTGGCACCCGAGCCGGGCGAGCAGTTGGTAACCTATGCTAATTTCGAGCACTATGCCCTGCAATTCCAGCAGCAGTATCACCAGCACCACTACAATGCGAACTACTACAAGCAGGCCGGAGCCGTTAACGGTGCCTATCAGTATGTGCCTCAGCAGCAGCAGCCACGGCAGCATCACCATCCCCAGATACACCACCAGCACCAGCAGCAGCAACAGCAACAGCTCCAACAGCAGCAGCAGCATGCGGCGCACATCATGCGATTGAATGCCCAACTCGCTGCTCAGTTGTTGGATAAGAAAATCAACTTTCTCCTGGTCGAGGGTTTCATGATCTTCAACCAGCCGGAGCTGCTGGCCCTCTGCAATATCAAGTACCACTTTCATTTGCCCTATGAAAAGTGCTTCGAGCGGCGCAGGAAGCGAACCTATGATCCGCCAGATGTTACCGGCTACTTTGAGCTGTGTGTGTGGCCGCACTACGAGAAGAACTTTAGCGAGTATCGGGACTGCAAGGACATTACCTTTTTGAACGGCGAAATCTCCAGGGACAAGATCTTCAAGTATGTGCTGCAGCGCATCGTCCACTACTTTGAGGAGCGCTGCGATGTACCAGCGGCAGCGCCGCCCGCATGTCCGCCACAGCAGAAACGCTTCGGTATGCTCTACGTGGGTGGATCGAGCAACAATAACCCAACAATATTACCCACGGCCTGCCCCATGGAGCAGTAGTAGGATTAGCAAGTGGCTAAAAGTGAATACCTTACCTTAAGGCATACATACGAGTATATGTACAACGTTTTTATTAGTTAGTTTTATTTCGTGTTTAAGATAGTTTTTATGTGATGTGGATGAGATGTGATGACATGGATAGTCTCTCTCTATTGAAGGAAACCCGGTTCAGGAATTCATACTTTAGCTGTGCTAAATATTATATAATTGTATTATATTACGATACTCTTTTTTTGTCTCTTCCCCCCGTTGAAGTGAAATGTAAACCAACTGGAAAATGGTTAATTTGGTGAGGGATTAACGATGGAAATATCGATGTAAATGCGTATATATGATGAGTGAACCTTGTACATATTCTTTAGTGTATAATTAACCCCAACCCCCACACAAGTTTAAAGTTAGCCCCTAAGACGACTATGAAACAAGAGAATTCTATTTTTTCTTGTGCGAAACAAAACACACACCCAACACACAGACATACAAGTAATGAAAATAAAGAAACATTTAACCAGAAAACTGCACACACACAAGATAAGTAAATGATCATCGAATCGAATTCATTTCAAACTAATTAATTTGTTTATTCTGCTAGAGAAGCCATCTCCAAAGGGTTCCAAGCGGAGGTTAATTTGGGTTTATGCGTGGTTTAAAACAAGAGAAATAATAATAATAAATATATAAACTATAAATTAAACCAATATGAAATATACAATCTTGTCATCGCTAGTAAGGGTATTCAGTATTCTGTATCTGTAGCCTGCAACCTGCTAGAATTGTGAGTAGTAGGAGCGGTGCAGAGTTATTGCCAATTGAATGCGTAAGTTAATTGCTGATCGGGGGGGACTACATGGATTATATCAATGTATGTTCTTCTTTATGCTTATAACTATGGTAATAACTTTCTGCTTATATATGTTGTGGGTCTAGGCTGTGGCCTCAAGCGGCGCTATCGGTGTGGTGTGTATACGTGCCGGAAAGGCAGCTGCAAAAGGATACATAATAAAGCCAATCGTTCAATCACGCGCAAGTTCTACTCACCGACAACTAATTTCGGTTTCTTTTAGAGGGCATCCCAGTCGGTTTGACTGTTGTAGACCTCCTCTTCGAGCCACACTGCATAGTTTGCCTTAAAGTAATCCGTCAGCTCCACTTTGCGATCCCACCAGCCCGAGTGTCCGAAGAAGGCAAAGTCCGAATGCGTGAGAATCTCGTCGCTGGGGAAGCCGCCCTCCACACCGTAGTCATTGAGCTGCTGCTGTTGCTGCTGATTATTGCCACTGTTGTTGCCTCCGCCTCCTCCTCCGTTGTTGCCACCGTAGCCGTTCGAGTCGGCTCCCCCAGTATTGCCACCATAGCCGTTGCCTGCATTCATGTTTGACTGCTGCGAATTCTCTGCATTCTGGGTTGCCGTGCCACCTCCGCCGTTGTTGCCGCTTCCACCACCCGCTCCGCACTTCTGGGTGGCCTCCGGATACCGCCGCAGATTGAAGCGATCGACACAGGCACGCAGCGTGCACTCCTCCGCCTGGAAGTCCCAGGGACGCGACTCGAGATCATTGCCAAAGGCCCAGTCGTCGTTGAGGCGATGACGCACCTTGGAATAAATGGCGCTCATGGTCTTCATGTTGGACTTGCGCCACTGGCGGCCCAAATACTTGGTCTGCATCTTGAGGAGCTTCAGCACGTAGAGCTGCATCATGGCATGGCGCACCTTAAGCGTCTTCTTGAGAATGGGAGCCGACTTGAACACAACCAGCATCATGACGCGCGAGTGCTTCCACTTGATAAGCTTGTTGAGTATGCGCAGCAGATTAATGCACGAGAATACATTGCGCCAGGAGTAGGGCTTGTCGGACATGTCGGCGCCATAGACGAAGCTGTCGCCACTCAGGTCCGGCTGCTCTCCGATCACGCAGGAGGGGAAGTCGAGCAGTGGGATGTTGTTCTTGGTGTTCACGTACTCGGTGATGGTCTGATTGAAGAACTTCAGCACCAAGGGAATGCAGTTGGCGAACACCAAGTGCTGTGACATGAACTCAAACTGATAGACGTGATTGATCTTGAAATGCTTCAAGTAGAGCAGAATAATGGCCGAGACGGCCTTGACAATGATCTCCTTGTGCCTGCCCATGTCCACTGTTAGCTTGGTCGACTGTGTGGCCGTCAGCGGCATCTTCTTGGGCAGCACATCGGCCATTATGTTGATGCTCTCCGTCTTCGACTTGGATGTGGGCGAGGCAGCCAGCAACACCTTCAGCAGGGCTATCATGTATTGCGGCAGATTGGGCAGTATGGCCTGGTACAGGATCTCTGCTGGCGTGAGCTTGATCTCATCCTCGTGCGTGGAAATGGGATTCCTGGCAATGTCCTCCTCCTTCTTGATCTGCATATCCGCCAGACTCATGTACATGTGCCGCTGCAGCGTCTTGAAGCCCTCGTGTATGGGCTGTGGCAGGCCCGCCAGGCTCTCATGATCCCCAATCAGGGAGTAGCCAATGAATTTGTTCCGCGAAATATCCAAGAACTGATCAATGTCCTTCTGCCGCACCTTGGGTGTCCAGGGCAGGCGCGCCGTGATCTGCACTGGGGGCACTGCGGCGAGGGGTGCTGTGAGGCTGGGCTGATTGTTGGGATTGGCCGTCGCCGTGGTTGAGGCGGAGGAGGAGGGATCATCGAAGGGCCGATAGTACTGCAAGAGTTCCTCCTCGCCATTGCTGCCACCGTTGTTGCCGCCCGAATTGTTGGCATTTCCCGATCCCTCATTGCCACTCATCTCCATGTCGATTTGCTCCGGCTCGTCCAAGAAGCGTTGCTTCATCAGCGATCGCCTGTGGCAAGCAGACAAAAGTGTGATTAAAGATAATCCACCATAAAGGGGGATCTACTCTACTCACTTGAAATTCCTCTTGGGATACTGATTCTCCAGAATATCCGTTGCGGTGGCGGGGGGTGAGCTGGCTCGCATGCATTTTGTGACCTCCAGCGTATCCTCAGTGATCGGATCCAGGCCCACCTTCAGTCGGTACTCATTCTTGAGATTCTTCAGGACATCCATGCCACCCAGACCCAGGAGGGAGACCTTCCAGAGCAGCAGCACCACCTTCTTCATGGGAAACTGTGGAGCAGCGCCACTGCAGAAGCGCGTTATCATGCCGAGCAATTTGACGGCCAGCAGTTCGCCATCGGGTAGGGGGGAATTGATCTCCTGGACAAACGACTCGGACAGATCCTTGTAGTCCTCACTCGCCTTTTCGCGCTCATCGCGAATGGTTTCCGTGATGATGTACAGCACGGAGAGTATGACTCGGATGTCTGTGGAGTCCACCAGGGTGACGTTCGTGATCTTGACGGCCACAATGTCCGGGGAGCAGGCACTCTCGATCTCCATATTGAGCAGATCAATGAAGGACGAGAAGACGCCTAATTCGTAGAGGACAATCACATTGTCCCGCGTATTCTGGTGCTGCTCCTCATCAGATTGCACCTCGGCCCAACAACCCTGGGCCAGATACAGAATGCACCGAGCCGCCTGCATGCGTAACGTTCGATTTGAGACCTCAAGCTGGTCGATGAGCTTCATTACAATGCTGCGCTGTGAGGCTGAGTCCTGCTTCTGCCAGTTGGGCGGCAGGTCGTACAGCTCCATTTGGTCCTCGAATGCCTTGACATTCGACTGGAATTCACTGTACTCCGTGTAGCTATACAGCTCGGCGATCTCGTTTTGGTAGCTGTCCACATCGGAGTACACAAAGTCCAGGTCGGGGCCATCGCAGTTGGCGTCCACGTCGTGGGTGTCCTGCTCGAAGGAGTTGTTTATGGATGAGAGCATCATTTAGAAGCTGTTTCCTCTCACAGAGCCGTGTGTCTGTTCCTGTATGTGTGGGTGTGTACGGTGGGTGCGGATGTGTATCCGTATCCGTGTATCCCTGGTGCGGGCAGTGGGCGGCGTTGAATGTGTGAAGATGTGTTTGCGGTAGACCGTAAAAGAGGCCGACTCCTGTCCTGCTGACTCGCTAAAACACTGGCATTATACTATTTTGGTTGCATTTCACTAGAAATTTGGAAAAAATATGTTCTGTAAAAAACAAAACACACGCACACGCACAAAAGAAAGAAGAAAATTTATATATGTGACCGTTTGTGACTGAAAATACCAGAAAACGGATGTGCTATCACAGCAGTCACTGTCACAGTCACGGCACTGAACTGTTTGCACTCAGCTGATTTGAGGGATGATTCCAACTAGCAACATGAGCTTTTTAGCGAGAACCCTATTTTGTAAACAATCCAATAAGAGGTAGTCATGAAAACAAGTCAATCTTATGTGGAATTGATTAATCAATTGGATAAAATAATAGTTTTAGTGCTGAGAATCTTAACTAGCTGGCAATATTAAGTGGAATATCAAAATCGAGGAAAATGCTATGGGATATACGGTATATTTACGGTATATTTCGAAATGAGAACAGTATATTTTTGAGTATCAGATGGTATATAAAGCCCGCGGTCACACTCTTCACAAGCCGGCAGCAGATTTATTTACGCTTCCAAAGTTTACGCGATTACGAAATAAGTAAGCATTTTACCGAATTTAAACAATAGCAAGCCTTCGCAGACTGTTTTGACAATTACGTGGCTATAAAGGGAGCCTTTAATAGAGCTAATAGAGCTGAAAGCGCTTCTCAAAACACCTGCAAGTGTCGGCCTGTTGTATTGTTGCACTTTGCACCCCCCAGCGATTGTGTCGCATATCAGCGTGAGCTTGCACAATTCAGTCAATTTCTCAGCATATACTCGCCCAACATATAGTATACACCACACTATACATTCCTGATTCTTGTGAAATCAGAAATCAGTGAGAAAGAGAGCAATGGCTGGCCGCTCGCTTGTCCAATTTGTGCTTAGCGGTTTGGCCGTGGCCTTGGGCTCCTACCTGTACATGACCAAGCAAGTAATTACCAGAACACATCCAACCACAATAGTATTGTATCGTTTGCATGCGTAATAAATGCCCCTAACAATCCACTGGCACGGACACGAACATAGCCATCGCGCCTCCCCCCCGTTTCTCCTTTCTTCCTGCTTGTGGGGCGACAAATATGTAGGTTCGAGTTTGCCCTTCATGAATAACACATATGTATCCAGACAAGTATGAGTACTTGGCATTCCCTTATTGCTTTAATTTTCTCAATTTTCCAATCGTTATTTGCAGCCATTAAAGTATGAGTCTCAGGCAGTTTCAGACCATTTCGCAGCAAGTGTTCAGGTGCTACTCGACACGGGCCACAACAAGTCGCAGAATCCTTTATCCAGTCATCGAGCTGAGTCAGAGCCAAAGGCAGAATCTGAAATTCTGCACAGTCCTGCTGCCAGTCAGTTGTGCGGCCGTCGGCAGTGTTTGCCCTCCCCAGTACTCCACAGCAGCTGCCGTGAGTTGCGAGTTTTCGAGTTGTAGTTGTACTAGTAGTTGTTTATGACTAATTTCTGATACTTTATCTCTATGCTGAACTAAAAATATGTTGCGTTGACTATACCCCCAGACCTTTGCTTGCTCGTTATCTTGTAGA